AAAGCCTTCTGTATATTCACGAGTGAGTGAAAGATGAGAGGCTAAGTTTCCGGTATATTGGACTCTGAAAACGTTTCTTCTTTCTACCCCTCCTGGTCTTGTCCCATTCATTAAAAATCAGAAATAAGAGTGAAGATTGGACAAATAACTGCAATGCATTAATTGCTTTGGGTAAAGGAAATCAAAGGTCTTTAAGAACAAGTGACTTTCCCCTGTAATGGGAGGTTTCCTAGGTCCTCTCACTCTCTTGGATACTATATTCTACCCAAGGCCTGAAATATCATTACTCCTTCACAGTATATCATCCCAGCATATTTTGGAATGTCCCTTTTGCTCAGCAGTGGTTGGATGGATTGACAATATGTGTGTTCAGCCTACCTTTCTATATGCCCTATGTTCTCTCCTATCACAGCCCTCACCAAACTGTTTTGTAATTTCTTGTATCTATAATTTGCTGGATCTGCCGGCCTCTGCCCTTGTTCCTCTACGGTTTATTCTCAACCCAGCAGCCAGAATGATCTGTCTCAAACAAATGGCAAATTGTGTCAGTCTACTGTTCAAAATTCTCCATTGACTTCATTTCTCACTCACAATAAAATCCCAAGCCCTAAGAATGACCTAGAAGACCCTATACCAGTGGTTCTCCTATTAATAGGAAATTAACAAAACCTAGAGAGGCTTAAGAGAAACAAACAAGCAAGTAATGTCATTCCTGCACCCAAAACTAATTACATCAATTCCTGGAGCTGTTATTTTTCTAAAAGGTTCCCAGGTAATTCTTTTAAATGTTATTATTATGGAGAATTTTGAACATACACAAAAGTAGACAAGCTAGCGCTTTGACGTCTATGTATCCATCCAGCCATCTCTCAACCCATGACCAATCCTGCCCCCTCCACATTCCCATCCAGTTCCTCCGTCTTGTATTACTATGGAGCAAATTGAGACATCATCACATTATCCAGAGAGTCATTATCTAGATTATCAATATCTATAAATATTTCAGAGTGCAACTCAATAAATTAAGAATTCATTTTTCTTCCAGCATAACCACAATATCATTAACACATCTAAGGAAGAATGTATAGCTATTATGATCCACTGCAAGGATAGAGAACCATTACCCTACACAGTCTGCCTTGGGACTTCCCACTTAGACCTCATCCACTGCTTTTTCCCTCTTTCATTCCCCTCAAACCACAGGGGCTGCCTTGCAGCATCTCAAACACTGCATTCCTGGGATCCTGTAGCCACCTTTTCACTGGCTAGGATGATCTTCTCCCAGATAGACACACAGCTTCATCCCTCATCCATTGTCACTTTTTCAATAAGCCCTTCCTTGCCTACCCTATTTAAACTTGTAGCTCATCCCCTATCCACCCCATGCCTTCCTTCTCCCCCTTCCACACTTATTTTTATTCATGGCATTTATTGGGTGCCCAAATACTTGCTGAATAAAACTGCATTTCCCCATCAGAATATAACTCCATGAGAGAAGGCTCCATGTAAATATTTGCTAAACGAATGCGTAAGTGAATGACTCAATTGGATAATATTATGCTGGCCTGTAAGCCAATGAGATGATGGGATAAAGGGTAAAGAGTCAAATAAATAGATACTCTGTTTTATAAAGCTTAGAGAAAAACAACAAAGTTTGTAAACATGACAAGGTGAGAATAATTAATAGGTAACGCATTCACAGCAAGCTATTAATGGAAGCTAGAATGTTTGAAATAAAATCCTAAGCACTGAGGTTCACATCAGAAAGCACAACAGTTCTCTTTTATTAACAGTCCCTTGGGCTGCTTGCACCATAGAACTAAGCCAGGTTGGTAAAAAGTGGTACAATACAATCATAAAGAAACAGCTGTAAAGCATAGGTCAGACTTAGCAGTACATAAATATGTATGCAAAAAAAAAAAAAATTAGGGTGAACCAGTCCAGACTCAGGTAGGCAAAACCCCAAGCATCCTTGCTCACTAAGCATTCACATTCTCTTTCTCAGGAACTCTGATCCTGGAGTTCACTGTATGTGTTGTTGCTCTCATTGAGTCAGTAGCCTTCTTGGCCATCTTCCTGGTGTAGGAAACAGCAAGATAGCTGAGAATCTCTGAAAGGCTGAAGCTACATGCTCAGGTGTAAAGGTACTAAAGCCATACTTCACTGCCTCCCTCCTCCAGGGCCAAGGAGGACATTTGGAAGCATTCTCTTTGGAAACCATACCTAAGACAGGTTGTTTCAGTTCAGGCTTGGAACATTAAGTCTTGGCTTCCAATATAACAAGAGAGCTTACTCTCACTCTCCCAGGCTGCTAAGGCACAAGATGTCCTGTTTGTCATCTGGCAGATAAATATTCAAAGGCTCCATCATTGTGACAACAGAAGATGGGCTTGCACGAGTAATGGTCTCCAGCCTGGCACGTGCTCCTCTTCATTAGGAATCATGGAAATTGAAGAGGGGTTCAGACAATAAAGATGCTTCTCACTCTCAATGCTAACATAGCACATATTGGAAATCTCTTGAAACTACTGTGTCATCAAAGTTTAGCAATTAGCCTCCAGAGTAACAGGCAAAAGTTTAGCAATGGATGCCACCCATGAGTAGGAGCAAAGGAGGGCATGATTTCCATGCCCGTTACAGTTGTGTTAGAAAACAAAACTATCACAAAGTCATTTGTTCTGAAGTTCGCTTCCTGTGCTCTATTGTTCCCTGCATGAAGAGTTGCCATGCTTATGAACGCAGACCTGTTTTGTATATGCAATTAAAAGGAAATGAAGTTTCACTTAAAACTCGAATGAATTTTATTTTTGGTTGCTTTATAGATTGGGGGTGATAGGGACATAGGCTTATCTTTCTATTAGAAAACGTAAGAGATTATACATATAACAATTAGACACTATAGATTCACTAATTTCATCCAGAAATATTAAAATAAGCATTATGTTCATGTGCCAATTGCCACAATTTGGCCCAATAGGACTCTGCTTTGCTGGCTTGGAGAAAGCTAGAGAACTGTGTATTTTCCACAGAACATGCCCATTCTTCTCTTCTCTTTCGTATCTGCCAAAATATTCATTCATTCATTCATTCATTTGAGTGGTCCAATGCAGTTGACTTCTCAAGTCCACAGGTGATTAGAAGGGGTGCTTGCTACTGAAGGTGAGTAAGGGCAGCTGATTCCCCTAAGGATACAAGAAAGAGAACCTGGCCTTTTATATTTGCAACTTCGCCAAACCTTGTGTAAGTTTGTAAACACCATAAAATATGTTACGATGTTTACAGCATATGTCTCTTATTGTTAAGAACTATTGTGGAAGTATGAGCAAGTCTACTTCTTAAAATATTTTTTATATAATAGTTACGGCATTCAATTATACAATAGTAATTGTGAATAATTATACCAAACCCCAGTCTGTTTTATGACTACTTCTCACGCTGAGCTCACATACTCTGTATAAACACCATCTGTATCAAACATAAAACTCTTAGTTGTTGTAAGAATACAGGCTTACAAAATGTAGCTTATTAGTTCTGGGGCCAAGCAGTTTCATGGCTATTGCCTAGGCTTCCACAATCCACATGAATCCGATGATCTTCTCCAGCTGTGTTCTGTTTCTCTGACTTGAAGCTTTGTTAGTTACCTTGATAGCATAGGATCATGGCAGAAATCATGGCCCACGTGCCCGGAATGTTGATACACCTCCGAAGTTCTGTTCAGCATTAAGTGCACTTACTTTGTGCTACAGATTTCTGCTCATTTCCTATACGTGTGGTACAGATTTAGGTCCTTAAATTTGGCCAACAGGGATGCTTCCTAAATTTCCCTTCACAAAGTGCTATCAGGGTCTTTCAGTGTCCCTTCCAAGCTGTTCCTCCAGAAATCTCCAAATGAAGTTTTCCCCCTGAAGAGGCCCCCTCACTATGTAAAAAGTTTTAACAATGAAAGAGAACAGCAACTTTTAAAAGATGACTGATCTCTGAACAATCTTTGGTCCAAGAATTTAAACCTCTATTGTCAGCTATCTAACCTACTCAAGACAGCCTGACTTTGAGAGGACTGAACAAAGTACACATTTTGTCTCCAATAGATAAGTGATTCTTCAGCAGGAAACAAACTTCAGATACAACCTACAAATAAACAAAAATATCTTCGCAGAAATTTAACCCAATCTAAGAAAGATAAGTTGTGCCCATCCTCAAAAGTCATTCTGCTCAGATTTGTTGTTTGTCTTTAGCCATTGACTGAGCCTAATCAGCATATTTCTGGGTGTTTGATGATCTAGAAGTCAATATCATTGTCACCTTTTTAGCATCTTTTTTTTTTGAGACGGAGTCTCGCACTGTAGCTCAGGCTGGAGTGCAGTGGCATGATCTCCGCTCACTGCAAGCTCCGTCTTCCAGGTTCATGCCATTCTCCTGCCTCAGCCTCCCGAGTAGCTGGGACTACAGGCGCCCGCCACCATGCCTGGCTAATTTTTTTGTATTTTTAGTAGAGACGGGGTTTCACTATGTTAGCCAGGATGGTCTCGATCTCCTGACCTCGTGATCCACCTGCCTTAGCCTCCCAAAGTGCTGGGATTACAGGCGTGAGCAATCGTGCCTGGCCTTTAGCATACTTTAATCTTGAAAATGTTCTTTATTAGAAGGCCTGATCTCCTTGCTAACTAAGACTTTAGGATTTAAGCTAGGAAAAAACATACTTTTTCTTCTCTGTTTTTTCTGTTACAAAATTTCTACCTCCAAGCAGTATAAGTAATGGTTTTGTTGCATGCAAAAGGATATTATTGCATTTCCCCCATGGAATTAGTTTCTGATTTGGAAAGAACTACAACTATATTCACATTCTTTGGCCAAAATATTCTGAGCATCATTTAAAAGTTACAAGCTAGGTATGCCAGCATTTGGACACAATTTATAAAAGTGTTACTATGAACAAAATGGTGCCATTCCTTCCAGGTAACTGTCCAAATATCCAAAGATAGATGTCTTAATTTGGCATCCAAAAAAACACACACGGGGTCAGACTGTATGTAGGTAATTTCTGCAGATGCTATTATTTGTCCCCTGGGATCTCACATACGCAATACCAATTACAGAGGAGAGGAGTAAGAATAGGCAAAAAGGGTGAGGGCTGCAACAGCAGGCCTGAATGATTTGGACTAAAATCTTATATCAAATTTGCAAATTACCAATTAAGGCAGGTTTAGAACATGGCATCATTTTCGCTCACTATGACAAACTGGAAATTAAGGTTCTCTCTGCATGTCAGAAGCATGACAGTAATGACACAACAAGAAATGCTATCAGAAACACCTTTCCTGGTAACAACATATCCTTACACACAAGGCAAACTGCCTGGTAAGAAAAAATAGGTCAAAAATCTGAAAATAAACATAAGACCTGGATCTCAAAAAAATTGCTACTCAGTTGCCTCTGGATAAGTCACTCAAATACCTTGCAAATGAAAGCCTCAAATACCAGAATGCTCATACCTGGTTCTGGATGAATATGTTCAAAAATGTCATTCACTTCTACTCAATCTTAGCAAGTGACCATTTGCAAGGTAGCTTTAGTGCTCTGTTCATTTAAAATAAGGCAATAATAAAATCTTGTGGACTCGGGACGTATCTCCTTTGACAAATGAGTGGTAGCATGCACTGCACTTAGTAAGAGGCATGTGGTCTCAGAAATTGAGTGGTAACTCATGAAGCAGTATACAGTGTTGTTGCTGCATAATTCCTGGGAAGATACATCCCCTATACTGTCTTAGATTTTTCATGCTCAACATTGGAGCGGTTCATTGGATTCCATAAATAATATACAACAATGAACACCTACCCGATGCTCACCCATCTCAAGCTTCCTTAAATCTTGTTTCTCTTTTTAAACATATAGAAGGATACTATGCCTTGGTACTTTTGTAGTACCTCCAGTCATAACACTTGAACCCCACAAATCAAAGCTGTTTGCTTGAATATAAAAGAATGACAGAGAGGTAGAGAAAATAGACTGGAAAGCATTCACACCAAAAAAGTGCCATGTGGCATTAAGCCCCTTTGAGAATGTTGGCTACTACTTGTGGCACTCACTCTACCTTACTGCCTGCCTCGCCATGAGGAAAGCAGAGTAATGTTTCTGTTCAGTGTTGTGATGGATGTGTCATCTAGCTAGCTACACATACAAACATATATTTACACATCTTATATACAAATATATGATAGGCATAAATCTGTATCAAATACATATGTCATACACACACGAATATTTGACCTAGAGCGAGGACATATCCATTCCATTTCTGGCTATCCCTCTTAAAAACAAAGAGATATTGAAACAAGCCACCACCACCCCCTTTGTGCCTCAGTTTCCTAATTTGTTACATGAGGTTAACTCTGCCCTATCTAGAAAGGGAACCAAATGAAGTAATACACAGAAAACTGCTTTGAAAAGTCCAGAGTGCTATACAAATGCCAGGGATAATGATATGTTTCACAAAAGAGCATTATTCCTTTGCTAAGAAGGGTACATCCACATTCACATTTTCTATCTGTGAAGGTTCTTCTTTGAAATTAAATTGAGACCGTAACCAACATCTCTCCCAGTGCTGCCTGAGGTTTTACTCAGCAACAAAGCAAGGGCTTCTTTCATCCTTCATCACATTTGAGTTCAAGCACCAAGAGGTACTTTTTACCAGTGGTGAAAATAGCTTTCTTTTCACAGCAGAAACACAGAAATGAGCTGTCTCGATGCTAATGGAAGGATAAGGCTTGTTCTACAGTTGCCACCACACACACACACACACACACACACACACACACACACGAAAAAAACACCTTGATTTGATTTGGCTTTGTTGATGGTGTGTTCCTGCACCAGGAAGATGGGAGTGGCATGAGAAAGAGGAGAAAGTACATGAAGCGATGGCTTCATTTATGCATATGAATAATGAAATATTGACATACATTTTCAAGTGGTCATCTTGTTCCATTTTTCTTTCAGCTTTCAGTGCCCCCTGGATGCTCCCCTCTAAAAAAAGTAGATTAAACCCTTCAGCCTTCATGCATTCAATTAATTCTCATCATACCTGCCTTATTTGGATGCCTTCAGTGCTTTTTGAGTTCATCATAATTCCCCAGCAGATCTTCTACAAATCTGACCCCTCACTTCCTCTCCAGTGCTTTTCCTGCTCACCTCCACAAAAGCTGTGTGTCCAATTTTGTTTGATTTTCTTCTGCTGTTTTGAGGTGCCCATGCTTTCAACCTGAATGGATTTTCTCTGCTCTCCCCTTGGCTGGAGATGTCTTCTACTTCTACCAGGATAACTTTTATCTTGGCCTGTTGAGATCCTACACAACCTCCAAGGCACATCTTAAATGCCCATAATTTCATGTAGCTTTCCAATAGCAGTCTCCCCCCTTTCTAAATACATTTTAATTTTCTCAGATTAAAAACCACACCTTTAAAATGGCTCTTAGAGGCACACAAATCATTGTGTCTGGTGGGTATCTTTTCCACCCCAATAAAAAATGAAAGCTCCTAAAGTTCACTATGGCTTTGTTATTTTGTATTATTTTATTTTTTAAACATTTATTATGAAAAATTTCAAACATATACAAAATAAACAGAAGGCACTGTTTGTTTTTGCATCTCTCTGGGACCTATCACAGTGTTTTGCATGTAGCAGAGGTAAATTTAAGTAATTCAGGCCTCAGGCAAATGGAGCTGTCTGTCTGCATATCTGACGTCATTGTCTCCTGGATGGTTAAGCTTTTCCTCAGTAACACACACTGACACACAACCCACACACCTGTAGGATCACAAACTACAAGGATTAAACCCGCTCATTGGCTTTAAAATTCAGGGAAAGTCTTTATTTTGAGGTCAGTTCAGATAATCAGTAAAGCTAACTATATTCGAGGGGATGGGGAGAAAACATTTATATATTTAAGAATATTTTCTAAGAGAATTCAAGTCTGGTTGTATATCTGTTTGATTTTCTTAGTAAGGCACATTTTTTTATAAATGTGTAATACCTGAAGAATGACATACAAATATGAGGGTTTTCTATTAATACCAGGTTTTCTTCACTTTACATTAACATTTTTCAATGTCTTCCCTTCTCAAAACCTCAGACTCCTAAAAGTCTATTTTAGATATTTTAACTTGCGTCTACTTAGCCCATTTTTTTGCTACTACTGTGTGTGTGTGTGTGTGTGTGTGTGTGTGTGTGTGTATTTGGGAGAGTAGTCAGATCCTTAAAGCAAACCAGAATTCTGGAGTGATAGATTACATGTCCATGCTGTGTCATATCCAATTATCTCAAATTGACTGTACACTGCATTATTCTGTTAGTGCATGGAAGATCAATAAATATGGGGAAAATCCAGCCCAGCTCTCCACTTTCCCATCCGATTCTAGTAGGTCTGAGACGGATCATGCTACTGTGATGTGTACGCCACAGCTAAGGCAGGCAGGTGGTGCATAGACACCATTCAAACTTGGCCTATTCAATCCCAACTCCTCTAACTCTCCATTCATGCATAGCAAAACACCATCTGGTCCTATTTTGCCTCCAGCAATCACAGCTGACCAAAAACGATAATAACAGCTGTTGCAAAACAAAAGCCAAACAAAGGGGGTGGGGGGGGGGGAAGGAAAGGTTATATTGAAGTCCAGTGCTGAAAAATGCTCCATGAAGTGAGAAATGGGAAAGAAACCATTCAAATGTCTAAAGCTCACTGAATGGACACAGTGGAGGACTTCTACTTAAACTTGAGATATTAATCCATCTGTCTAGAAAGCCTTCAAACCTCCGTCAGGTGGTAATATATTGCAGAAATTATGCTCCATGAAGGCATTTAAGCTTTTATTCTTTGAGTCGGGAACTCATGACCCCATGTCAGCTAAAAATGAAAATGCCTTATGTTCTTTCATCATACAGCAGTACAGGTTAATGCAAAAAGGGAACATGTTTAGCCAGAGTAATAAAATAATGTCTACATGGCATTGGGAGAGACAAGGGGTGTGTGTGTGTGCGTGTGGTTGTGTGTGTGTGTGTGTGTGATGGAGGTGGTGGGGGTGAGGGGGGTGTCTGTAGACCACTTAAGAGGGAAGGCATTTAGGCCACTTAGGTGTGACACTAATCAGATACCACATTTCTCATGTCTATTTTTCATTATCCTGATTTATTTCTGACCTCTAACAAAAGAAAAAGTGCACCAAGTACTTACTTAAGTCTTAGGAATAGAAACCAGTCATACGTATAAACTGAAAAGTAAATGGATACATAACATGCTTTGTGAATCCTGAAAACAATAATATGGTAACAAGGTTGAGGAATTCTTTTCATGATTCAAGCCTTTTGACATTTTAAATATATAGTTTTGTCTGGTAATTAATTTTATAAACTGCAGCCATTAAGCTTTTTTTTTTCCTCTGGAATTGACCGTCACTGGCTTAGCAGCATTTAATCAAATGTGATAAAACCTAAGATTTATAAAAATCATTTAATAGATGTTACAACACCTGCTTCTAACTGCAAACAGTTGAAAACAGACTTCACTTGCAATTAAGTCTTATCACTAGTGACATTTTTTTCCAAGCAATACTTCATGGGTTTTCAAAATGACAATTACAGAACTAATACACAATTACTGTCACATGTAGTTTAGCAATTAATTTTGAAGACATTTGTCTAAAGGTTTCACAACAGAATATAAAATGGTTATTGTTATGTAATGTTAGTTTCAATTCACAGAAAATCTTTTACCATTCGAGCTCTACTTCTGCTGGGTCTGATGCTAGCAGATCATTTCTTTGTGGAATACAATCACTCCCTTGTAGCTGTAATTAGGCATCATTCTAAGGCTGTTTGAACACTGATACCTGTCAACTAATACATCTTATGAAAAGCTTCAATTTAGACATAAATTTTTCTACAGCAAGAAATCCATAAATTTATAATTAGAATCTCTTGCTGTTCAATATTTGTACATAATACAGAGTAGGAGAGGATTATGAAATATTGAAAGCTGAATTCATTATTCATAACCCACAACATACAGTAAATATTCTCTGAAATACAACAACTTTGAGAGATCCATATTCCATTATTTTTGAATGTCTCACACACAGCAGCTATGAAGCGCACCATGCACACCCTCATTCTTTCCAGATTAGGATTCTGGTCAGGGTTGACACTTGCTGTTTTTAATTTTCATTTTATCATAAGCAGTTTAAGACTGTTGCCAGTGGTAATTTGCAATTTTTATCAAGACCTCTTCATTATAGCTTCTGACAGGACAGATGCTGTAATTAATCATGCAAGACAACTGGGGATAGTGGTCACACTGCTCTCAAAGAGGAACCGCTACAGAGCAAGAAAAGGGGGGAATAAATGGGCTCTGAAATAATTATTTTGGCTTAAGAATTAGCATTCACCATCCATTTTAATAGTAATAACACCACAATACCCAGGTAGTTCTAGCCCCCCCGCCAAAAAAAACGATTACTTTTTTCTCGCTATACTTACCTTGTACTTGCATCTTTTTAAAAAGACAATTACACAAATATTCCCAATGGGTTGTTTTGCTTTTTTTCAAGGATCTTCATTTCAGGCTATGCATTGTGTATTCTTGGCCATAAATATCATATTTCCAATTGAAAAATGGAAGATGATGCTTGGGCTGAAATGAAACTTGGTATGTGGCATATTTCCCCATCTTACATGTATTCAAGGAACCAAAAATGAAATCTGACATATCATTTTATTTGAAAAGTGAACAGTTTCCTTGTTGTTGCATCAAAATACAGTCCACAGTTTTTACTGAAATGTGTTTATTCTATAGCAAGATAAAAGCATTTTTGTTTTAGTTAAGCAAAATACAAACAACTTAATTGCTGCTATCATAACTCATAAAAAAGTATAAAACAGCATAAAAACACAATAAGCAACGTAGCAATGAATGGTTTATGTCACCAGTGTTTACGTTAAAGCCTCATTTAGGAAAACTTTACAGCACATGATATGAAAACTTACAACTTTGAAAGAAAATATTTACATTGATTATTCAGATGTGGTGTGCCTTTTAAATAGTCTACTGGTATTACATCATAATAAAAACTCTTGCTTTTTCTTTTTAAATCTTAACTTTTGTAATAACTGTTCTCATTTAAGTGCATTTCCCTTTTAAAAATACAGTGTTTTTATTTTTCGAAACTTGTCACTCAAAACACGGAATATAATATTCACATTTCTTTTCTTCTAATTGGAATGAATATAATGGGCTAACAGTGGCCATAGATATTGTTACAACATATACTGTGGTTTGATTTGGAGAAGTCATGGATAAAAAGTGTGAATAAGTCAATAATTGAATTTAATCACTTGCATTTTTTTTTCTGGAGAGATTTAGGAAAAAAATAAGAGCTTTGGCAAAAGTCTGTGATTTACATTATTTTTTTTCATGACAAAAAAATGCCATCAACTATTCACGTCATACAAATGTTTGTATGAAACTGGATCTTCATATTTCAGGTAGTTACAACTGTGCTTTTTATTTTTAGGGCTTCAGAAGTTCAGATAGCCTGGAAGTGTGGTTTACTCACTTCTAGAGAAATAAGGCCATTTTCTATGACTCAGAGAGGCCAGTTTATAGTCATTAATATGTCCCAGGATTCATTAAACAGTTTGATTCACATATTGTAGGTATAGCCTGAATAAATAAAAAAGGCATCACATAAAAGAGCACAGCTTTTCTCGTTTAAAAACAAAAGTGATTTATAGTCAGCTAGAAGATGTTACTCAGCTACACTGTAGTTCTTATTGCCTATCTAATAGACACTTGAGAGGACCGTTTGATCTGTTACACATTTCTGCATAACCAACACCAACTTACAGGTTTCAGCCACATATGCTTTACCCTCCTATGCCACTCTCCTCGGTATACGCAAATCCGTCTGCCACATGCGTCTTCAGAAAATACTGACCTGCGATAATACTTGAGTCTGTGTCTGAGACTGTATTTGCGACTGGTGCTGCTGAGAGGCTGGCTGGGGGCTCCCGATGGCAGGGATGGGGGATGTTATCTGAGAGGCGACGGGAGAGTGCTGCCGAGGAGAAGGCTGAGACTGGTGCTGCATGTGTTGCAGCTGCTGCAGCTGGAGGCGCTGCTGCAGCTGCTGCTGCAGCTGCTGTTGATTAATCTGCTGCTGGAGATGCTGCTGCTGCTGCAGGTGCTGCTGCATGTGGTGCTGGAAATGCTGCTGCTGCATCTGCTGCTGGATTTGCTGATGCATTTGGTGCTGCTGGAGTTGCTGCTGCTGCATCTGTTGCATCTGTTGTTGTTGTTGTTGTTGCTGCTGCTGCTGCTGCTGTAACTGCATCTGATGCTGCTGGGTTTGCACCGAAGGGCTCACTTGGGTGGAGGGTGCTGAGCCAACCATGGTCGTTCCCATGGAGCTTATCAGTGGAGCCCCAATGTTCGAGGGCATGTTGGCTGCAATGGTGACTGATGTGACAATCTGGTTCATGGGGAGTCTCATGGTTAAGGGTTTGGGAGCGATTGACCTAGGGAGGGATTGCTGGAGAGTCTGAGGTGATGCTGACACTGTTCCATGTTGAGACAGTGGAGTGTTGAGAAGGAGGGAGGATGTCAGATTGGTCGACGCCAGGGTCTGCTGAACAGAACGGATGGTCTGGGCTTCTGCTGACTCAGCAGCAGCCTGCATTTTGGGGGAAAAAATTCCAGACTGTTACAATACATAAGTATTTAAAATATTTAAGCATTTTTAGATATTATAAATTGATTTTTTTAATAGCCACCATTATTCATGCCCTCCTGTATCTGTACTCTTTGTCTTGTGACTTTTTCACTCCTCCCAGATGTGGAGTCAAATCCCCTACCTCCTTGAGTCTGGGCTGCTCTAGTGCCTTTGCTTTGGCTGGCAGAATGCCCTGACAGTGATACTGTCCCAGTTCCACGATGAGGCCTCAAGCCTATCCCTGCCATGTGCATGATGACAGATATGTGGCCCAGTTACCCACCCCAAGAGTCAGTTCACTGCCATCCAGCCAACTGTGATCAATGTGAATGAGTCCAGCCCCTCCAACATGCAAGCTGACCCCAGACAGAAAAGCAAGACTAGTTGATTCTACTACGCCTGGCCTAGATCTGAAGAACCAGCCAGCTAACTGGCACTCTCTGAAGATAAATGCTCATCTTGTACCACATCACTGAGCTTTGGGGATGGTTGTTACACAGCACTATTGTGGCAAAAAGATAACTCATACACATATTTAACAGCAATAATTCTTCTGCATTTAACTCTGTACTAAGGACCTTACCACTGAGTACCATATGTTTAAAGACAACAGAGTACAGGCTGCCTGAGTTCAAACGCAGTTCTCTGACTTAACAACTTTGTGACATTGGACAAGTTAATTTACTCATCTGTTCCTGTTTTCTTATCTGTAACATTGGGTTATATGGTCTTTCTTTCTTTCTTTCTTTCTTTCTTTCTTTCTTTCTTTCTTTCTTTCTTTCTTTCTGTCTCTCTCTCTCTCTCTCTCTTTTTTCTTTTATTTTTTGTGAGATGGAGTCTTACTCTGTCACCCAGGCTGGAGTGCAGTGGCACGATCTCGGCTTACTGCAACCTCTGCCTCCCAGGTTCAAACCATTCTCCTGCCTCAGCCTCCGGAGTAGCTGGGACTACAGGCGCCCAGCACCACACCCAGCTAATTTTTTGTATTTTTTAGGAGAGACGGGGTTTCACCATGTTAGCCAGGATGGTCTTGATCTCCTGACCTCGTGATCCACCCGTCTCGGCCTCCCAAAGTGCTGGGATTACAAGCGTGAGCCACCGCGCCCGGCCAGGTTATATGATATTTTTCTTGTGCAGAGGTCGTGAGAATTAAATGAACTCATACGTTAAGCATTTAAGAAAGTGCCTGGTCCATGGGAAGTAACAAATATTAGCTATTTTTATTAGTTAACAATTACTATTGCCAGAAAATGGCCACTGGAATACTTGAAAGCCCTGTATTGTGTGGTTATTTATAACAAGGTTCACTCAAATATAAGAAAACCATTATTGGTTTCCTCAGAAATACCAAACTGAAGTTTTCACAATTTTAGAAATGTTTTAGTTCATCAACTATTTTTGAAGATTTCCAGAATTTATTAAAGGAGTCATAGATAAGGGGGAAATGTTCAACTTCATGGGACCAAATCGCCTGTTAAAAGATAAACAGCAGATATAGGGCTGAACATAGAGAGAAAGTACTACTTTTTGTGCTAAAAACACTTCACTGCCTCCACAAAAGGAAATTCTTCCACTAATGCAACAGTGGAATAATGATTCATTCCAAAGACAATTTTTTCCTTGTATTCTTCATTTGATTAGGATGTTTTGGGGGGAGTGTTGCAGGGGCACCTAGGAGACATCAAGCAGCCATCTACTATCTTTAATAATTGTATATTTCTAAATTTTTATAACTCTGATTTATAAAATCCTGCTGTTGGAAAGAAACTGAGATGTAACCTCATATAGAGTCATCCAGTGTGTAGGAATAGCCACCTCTGATGTTTTCTGTTTGAACACATGTCATTATCGTAAGGCACTCCCCTTCAGTGGACAGGTCTCCGCATTACAAAACTCAGTGCGGCTGCATGTTCCTGAACGGTCATGTTCTAAGGTCTTAGGGTAAGAAGCAACCTATAAATATTCAAATTTGTCTTCAAAAAACCATTAAATCACCCATAAAGTAGAATACACACAGTAAGCATGTACATAATTCTTATATACTCTAGTAGTTAAAAATTAACAAGCTAGTGTTAAAGAAAAAAACACAAAGAAAGTCTGTATTTCAACACCTGGGCAGCTCAGTTGCACAGTTGTGCCTTTAAGATGCTGCCTTAATGGTAAATGGAGATGGGTGGATGATTGCAGAGTTCTTCCTTGCCTGTCTTCTTGCTCCTTTATGGTTTAATAGTAAGCTTCCATGAATTTCTTTGGTTGTTGTAAAGATTAAAAGGGATAGCAGAGTCATATCTTAAGGGGGGAGGTCTGAGGCTCCGCGTGTAGAGGCATAAGTTAAATGTGCATATGATGCAACCCTATTGATGTTTCTGATGCTGGGGCTGAACTCTCGCTCCCTGTAAGCTCACCCCTTGGATGAGTTCTCCTCTCTTGGGCACAAAGATCGACTTAATTTCTCTTATATGACAGCCCTTATATTTGAGGACTAAGATCATATGCCTCCAAGTCCTTGCTTCCCTGATTCTTTCAGTTATTCTAACCTGATGTGATTTTCAGTCCTCACCATCGTGGAGGCAACGCTCTAGAGAGACATCAGTTGATTGTCATCTCTCTTTACATTGTGGGACCCAAAACAGAACCAATTCTTTAGAAGTGGTCTAACAATCACTGTACAATTCGATGCTGCTTCCTGTGCGATCACTATATTAGCAGCTACTTCACACTTTGGGTTCAGGTTGAAATTATTCTGAACTTATACCTAAAGGACCATATTCATTGCCTCACAGTTATTTGAACAGAGATTTAGGATCCTCTCAAAGTGCATTTACTGAATTAAAAAACAAACAAACAAAATCCTAGTATTTTAAATTTATTCCTTCTAAATTCTATCCTATTGATTTTTTTTTTTCCTTTTTGGTGTCATTGAATTTCTTCTGAAAATATTTCTGAATCCTGATCCTAGCATGCAATGTATAAGTTTTAAGTTATCCCTTCTAAGTCACTCACAGACTTCATGAGCCCAATCATGGTTAATACTCCCTGAATGCCTTTTGAGATACTGGATCTTGGTTTAAATAAATCCATATACAGTCAATTATTCATGCTCTAATGCACAAAATCACCTATACCTGCTCTGGATAAATGAATGAATAAATGATCCACTTAAGAAGTACATGCACACTGTTGCTCTATTCGCTTCACTCCATCTAATTAACCACCAACTATACTTTAATTCTTAACATCTGCAGCCCATACAGTCAGCTGTTCTTTGCCGATGTACAAGTCTGAGTACAACATCAGTATATCTTCCAGTATGTGTCTTCCAGAGTCTGAGAAAGAGGTTTTGCTATTGACCTGATAAATGTTTTCTCTATCTAATGAAGTGGGAAGTGTCCTAATAGCCGTCAACAAAGAGAGGAGGACCTCTGTTGATCTGATTCTGAGCAGCTGCAAATGCTAGATCTTGATACAAGTACTTAATACAGATAATATAAAGAAGAAACAACTCAGGTAAAAAGAGAAAAAAGGGAATGAATAAAGGGAATGAACCCTTTTAAAACGTCTTTGAGACCCTAGGTTGTACTTGAGACAGCAACAGTGACAATGAAATTGTATCTCTACTTGTCAGAAAAAATTTATCTAGAGCAAAAATATATTATATCAAATTATCCTTTCCAAAACCTCTAAAATCTATAAAGGCAAGAGAAAAAGCTAATTAAATGTTAATATAATGTAACAACTCATATTCTTTTGGATTAAGGTAATTACAATCTACAGTGACATTTGCTTGGGATATTGGTGCATTTTATAACACACCAGGGTCCACTGTATACTCTCTGTATAATACATATAGTTTTTGTTTAGTACTTGGAATATAATGTCATTTTAAATGATCATGAGGTTTATTTATTTATAGGATATGGAACAGTTTGGTCAAAAATGCAACGCCCCCCTATCATAGTCATATAACCACAGGAGAATTTATAATATGATGTCCAAAAATGCCTGACAAACATACCTCCCAGTTTAAGCAGAGGACATTGACACAGGTCCCAATCCCTGACCAGAAGAAAGCATAAGAGCCTATTTAAGATTTATGTATACAGCTACATACACATATATAAAGATCAGGGAAATCTTTCAGAAACAACTTAGACTCGGCTGCTTAAGTTAACTCATATTTTCAGATCATCATTTGGGTAATCTCTAATGGAAACACCTAAGTTTACAAGTTGTTCAAGATGCCTTTCCATCAGCTTTTAGGGGAGCTGCAGTTATGTTTTCAATGCTTGAGGGCTGTTTTCCATGCTGTAACTATTTCGGACCCTGGCCGCCCCTGCCCAGGTTTACCTTAGAAACGAGGCTGGCCCTGTATGCTGCCAGGGCCTTCAGGTATTCTTTTTTGGCAGCTTCTGTTTTCCTTTTATATACCTATTAAAAGACCACAATTAGCACCACCTTTAGCGTATAAATTCTCAGCTATAAAATAACTGCTGCGCAAATTAGGTCACATAAACACAACTCACATAAAAAGGTTGGTCTCCTTGGCTTTGATTTTTAAATGTTAGCGTGTGCACACGTGCACACACACGCACGCGCACACACACACACACACACACGGATATTAAAACAAAACAGAACCCTGCCACCCTCACTGGAGCACAATTTTTATATTTACTACTGCAAATAAGAAAAAGATTTCCGGTTGCAATACGGATTCCTTGAGAATCACTTTTTCCTGAGAACAGCTGAAAACCTCATGCTAAGGCAATAAATAAGGTAGCAAGAAGAATAAGCTTTGCTGCAAATGGCTTACTTTAGAGAAAGTAATGAGTTTCTCCATCAATGTCTTCTTTCCCTCAGATACCTTTCTAAACTATACCAAAACCAGAGGATAAAAACAACAGGTAGAATGATGAAGACAGAAGAGAAAAGAGCAAAGCATTTCAACCTTGGTTTTCTTTTGGAGCAAAATTAAAAGTCAGAAATCATCCAAGCTAGGAGATTTCCATTAGTGACCCCACTGAGTTACATAAATAAAATTCCAGCATATTAAACATGATTTGGGCTTCTCCTTTTCTTAAGTGGTCTGATAGTTGGGTGTTCGATCAACATGCATCTTTCTCTCCAGAGTTTAAAAGTTAGGTGTGGCACTTTTCGAGTCCCTCAGAATTATATTTCTGGGACAGAAAATCACTCTGCTGTCTACAGTAATAAACTCAGTGCAAACTAACAAGAAATTTCTAATGTTGCACCATCCCAACAAAACAAGCTCCTAGGAATGAGTTCCTGAAATCAGTTCATGATTTGTAAATAAAAATCAAGGACTTTCCACTCTTCGTTCCTGAAAAATATTATTCTATTTTATCACTCATAAGGGTTGATCTCTTCTTCTGTGCATATGTAAAAGTTAACTTCTATTAATGGTAATTGGAGTTTCATGCAAGGAGCAAGTGGGGGGACCGACCCCCAAGGAACCCATTCTTCTCTTCATTTGTGTGGAGGAGTTGCAAGGGGAAGGAGAGGAGACGAAGCCCCTAAGGAAGTATCTCCCACCAGCATGGCTAATTTCTGAATACCTCTCATACTGCCTTGCTTTAAAATGAACTTGGAATAAAATTTCAAATGCCCAGTGACAATAATGAGACACGCAGAGGCAGCTTCAAAGTTTGGAAACCCACCAGGACAGCACAAGGGTTCAGAAAGATGATCAATGGAAAGGCAAGCGGGATGGACCTAATCCCTTTGTAGTGCCCTTTTTGAACAAAAGGGGAAACATTCCACATTATTTAAAATGAAAAGATTATCATCAAAAGTTTATGCTTGCAGAATACTGCCTGGATTTCTTCCAGCCTTCCTCTGAATGGGTTCTGAACATGCACCCATAAGCTGACAGAGAAATCAATATAACTGGAGAGTTGTTTAGATTTATACGTCTAGGTTTTTAAATTCCATCGCTTAGAAAAGGCTTTCAAAAGAAGCAATCATATTAAGTGAACACATGCACTCAGAAAAGGTGTGAGGAATATTTTAAATGATCATGAGGTTTATTTATGGAACCTTGATGGGTCTTTGTCTCACCTGCTTTTGTTCTTCTCCAAGGCTGTCCCACATAGATGCTACAATTTTTGAGACCTCTCCAAAGGTTGCATTGGGGTTTTGACCTTTAATTGCAGCCTGTGTGTCTCTGAAAAACAGGGCATATGCTGACACTGGCTTCTGTGGCTCATTGGGATCTTTCTTTTTCTTTTTCTTTGGAGTCTTGGGCTTCTTGCCAGAGTCTGGAGCAGCTCTTTTCTCTCCAATGGCCTGCAAAGCAGGAAGAAAATTCACTGCCTAGAATGTACTTGCAGAGAATGCAACAAGACTTAACTCAGATCCATAATTGTTCTTTGAAGGTTTTGTTAGGCATCATCAACAGATGAATCACCACCAAAACCGGGGGAGGGGTAAACTTGCTTGGAGTTAACCAGACAGCAGAGATTAGCATTTAGAACATCGATTAATGAGACCCAGAAGTATCTTCAATACATTCACAACATATGCTCTAAATAGCAACTATAATAATGAAAAACAGTACACTCTGTACCAGGCAATGCTATATATATACTGTACTACACATGTATACATCAGCAAAATATTTTGTATTTTCAGAGGTTTTAGAAGTAAAACCTAAATAATATTCAGGATGTTGATCATATTCAAATATTTTAAATGAGGTCCCTAGCCATAGTCACATGCCATATATGTGATCTGTCTGAATTGATTTGTTTTATGAGGCTGATTTTATTCTTTTACCAGAATGTTACTTTGCTAATGGCTCTCCAGAAACTCAAATGGAAATTAGCTCCAATTTCTATACTTGCTCCATAAGGACAAGGTCATCTTTATTTTCTAAAATAACAATAATTTTCTAAATATTAACAGCAAATGTAAAAATGTCAAAACTACTTTAAGTGGAGATAAAAGTGAAATTGATACTCTCCACAAAATTAAAAACCTGTAAAAAAAAAAAAAAAAAAAAAAGGAGCAATAGTTGATACTTAAAATCACTAAGAAGACTAAAGAGAAGATGTCTGTTATTTGCGGCAAGTAACCCTGCTCACAAGAATGCTACCACAGAGACTCACACACATTCACCAGATGAACTCTGAGAGATCAGAACCATAAACTGATACGGGTATAGTTTCCTAGTTTAAAGATAACGCAGCTCCATATTCACCCGCTACCATCATCTAAGTTCACTGATCATTTAATATACTTATCAGAGAAGCAGGGAAATGATTTGTAAATGTTTTATTCCCCTGGATCACAATATCAAAGATAATTTTGCAGTTAACTTCACCAAGAATCCTGCAATGTTTGACAAAATCTGTTCTCAAAGCCAGCCTTGGGCAAGATCAACCAAGATAGATTCAAGTTACTAACAGATTGGCTTTTTAATGGCTTGAATTCTAATTCAAATTTTTCCTAGAGTATTATTTACTTTCTAAATGAGGGTCATTTGGAATTTTTCCCATTTACTAAAATTCTTAGTAAGGAAATTTTCTTAGAGAGCTCTGAACCCTCAGGGAAGAGTTAAGAAACCACTGGCCTACCTCTGGGGGAGCCTATTGTTTGCACTATTTAAGTGATAACAGCATCCACACTTTATCTGAGCAGTTTATAAGCTTCAGGTGGTTTTAAGTCATATCTCTCTTTTCCTCCAAAATGTCATCTTTCATAACTCACACAATTAATTCAATAATTCTCTAGAGCCCATAGTCTTTTTTCTAAATTTTCAAAATAAGTGAGACTTGTTTAATTCTACTTAATGAACGTGAATTTCCAAGACAGTCAGATGCCTTTCAGTTAGAGCTTCACTTGGAGCCAAGATTAACTTCAATGAAAAACATTATTTAAACAAGAAAAACTATATACAGACACACACATTTTTCTAGTTGAGTCCAACAACTATATTCTTCTCCTGGAAGAAAATCCGGCACTGTTAGTGCCACAATACCCTGACCAATGGCAAGATGCTATTACTTTCCAGAGGAGCATTTTTTCCAAGTGAGAGGAGTTCAGTTTCATTCTCTGTAAAACAATATTCAAACGTCAAACACCTTTGATGCCTTTCTTGGATAACCATGATGTGCCCTAATCATTATTACCTTTTAAGAATAAACCAGAAACGTGGAGTCTCACAATTTAAATAAAAATTCAGAATTAATTCTCCTAAGGAAATTTTTGTGTCATTGACTTAAAAGGGTTCGGACAGAACGCTGGAGAAAAAGATTTACCCCAAAGAGACATAATCAATGATAGTTTAAATCTTCCTTTCTCAGCTAAGGTTCAATGAAGATAAATTGGCTTTATTGTCGTTACACAACACCTAGGCCCTCGCTTAAAATGGAGCAAGCTAGGAGTCCCATAGGAGGTCCTCTTTAAGATGACAATTTCTGTTTGGTACAGCGGCAAGTATGAAGATCCACGGACGTGTGAGTGGAGGGAAAGGAATCCCTTTGAATTGTAATGGCTAAGCGGTTACGTAACCCCATCTGTTCATATCCCTCAAGAGTCTTTAACCATTACTTCTCAATCCTCTAGACTGAAGTTCTGTGAATGTGAGAAGACTGTCAGTGCATTTACCATTCCTGGGCCCAATGGGGGTGCTAACGTGATATTATAGACTAAACCGTTCATCTCGAAACCCCTTCGATTTCCACAGCGTCACTCGAAACTCCCTCCCCTGTTCCTCATCACTCTTAATCTTCTCTAGCTCCTCTTCTTCCTTTTGCTACTTAGAAATAAATGATGCTCAGGGTTCTGTCCTTGACAGAAGTCCTGATTACTTTCACATCTTCTCATCCATGTGCTGATGATCCCAAAATCTATAGTTCCAGTTCCCATGAACTGAGTTCTAGACTCCAATGTAAGCACCTCAAATTCAACTCTAACATCCCAAACTCTCATCTTCCCCATGGGGGAGAACACTCCTCTCTTTGTGGGTTGCTCCTCTCATTTGCTGATAGCCATTCTGGCTCTCAGACTAAAATCCAATTTGTCTCTGCCTCAAATTCCAGTGGATCACCAAATCCTTAGAATGTTTATGATTCTCACTCCTAAAATGCCTGCTAACCTGGTACCTCCTGTCCATTCCCTCCCTTGATGAAACGAAACATAACAAAAGAGTCTTCTAATTAATTGCCACTTCTTTGGTCCCTCCCTTTATAAGGCATTCTATATATATAGCCAAAGTTATCTCTTTAAAGCATAAATTACTTATGCCATTCCTTGATGCAAATAATAAATCGTCTCTCAGCTAACAACAGAAGAAAGACCACCACATTTAAGCCATTTTATTCTTCAGCTTCTATTTCTCTCTTCCCCATATCAAACTTCATTATACCTATAAATAGCATGTACTTCCACTGTTCCTCATGAGCCCCCACCAAAATGCTGGCCTCTGTCTTCTGCCTCACAAACTTTTATTCACCCTCTTAGACCTAATTCAAATATCACTTTCTCAGTAAAGTCTTCCTCAAATCACTCTCCCAAGTAGAATCGATTAGAATCTCAGCACACCAGATACATCAATTATATCACTAATCACATCTGGAGCTAGTTTTAAACATTGCTATTCATCTCCAGTGGGGAGTCTCATGAGCAGTAGTTCTCTTATACATCTCTATATCACAAGAACCAAACAAAATGCCAAGCACAGAGTAGGTATACAGCACGTAATTAATGAGTGACTAATGAGTAATTATGTACTATTACAGTACTCTTTTTCATTATTCTAAGCATTTGGAAAAGTCATACCTGGAACGCAGTTTTTATTTCAAACTATGTATCATTTAAAATTATACATTTCCCATGACGAAGGTAAAAATGTAAGACGATGAGAATGAACTCAGAGATAAACATCACTGAAGGTGCAAGGCTGTCAAATGTGGCAGCAGCTTGACTGACACACTGGATGAAACTTGCTCACATGGACATTAATTTAGAACCAGAGCAGTTTAGAATTTCTGGAATGTCTAGAATTTCTAGAAATTTGTAGCAGGGAGTCCAAGCCCTCCTTTTGCAGATTAGAAAAATTGGGCCTACAAGAGTTAAATAACATGTCCAGTGCCTTACAGCTATACTAAGAGAAGCCAGATCTCTCAATTTCCAGTCCAATATACTTTCTACAGAAAATAAATGAAACAGTGAAGAAAAACAACAAACCATCATACATTTAAATGCTACTCCAAATCTATGAAGAAAAACAAGGTAACACCATGAATGAAATTCAAACAGCATGGGGTGATTCCATATTCTCTGGCAGGTTACACACTAAGGCAGTTCTAACTTACTCTGTTGGCTTCATCAGCATCCTCTTCATTGATGGAGCTGGAAGGGGAGGGAGTGGCCGATTTGCTTGCTGGAGGTGAAGGAGATGTGTGAGGCATACTGGCACCTCCCAAATTCAACCCCAACTGGGCGCTGAGCTGAGACTGGTTGATGGTGGTGAGCTGGGCAGGAGGCATGACCCCAGAACGCACAGCATCGGTCATGTGGACGATGGACCGCATGATCAGGGAGGGATCCTGCCGGTACTGGGACACTTGTGTGTGGCTCTGATCCTAGAAAGGCAGCAGCAAAGGGGGAAAAGATATCAGTTTTTCCAGATATCAGGGAACTGATTAGATTAGCATCTCCTTAGATAGGTTTGAACTGTTGCAATGTTGATAGGTCTGACCTATTGCAGGATGATGGTCTCTGTTCATTTATTAAATGTAAGGACCCATGCCAAGAAGTTGAAAGGTGAGAAGCACAAAATCCAAATATCTAGTCCAGAAAATTTTATTATAGAACTGTCAGTGGATAAGGAAGGCAGGAAGGAAGGAAGGAGGGAGGGAGGGAGGGAGGGAAAAAAGAAGGAAGAAAGGAAATTAGCAAAACTAAATAATAATCTTTAGCTCTTGTTTCTGATTGAGGAAACTGGTGGCAGAGAAAGGAATGAAGCAGAGACTCCACCCATTCAGGTTCATCCATTAGTTTACCATCCTTCCCACACACATAGCTGTTATGAGAGAAGGCAAAGCCATTCTTTATTTTATTCTCCCAGAAATGCACAAGACATGCAGAGGATGGGCCAGCAAAGCACAGAGCTATAGTTTCACAGAGCAAACATCTGTTTGCTTTAGGGCACCCTTTCTGTGAAATCCTCTGTGGTTAACCAGACGGTCATTCCGATTCTGAATTACATTGTCAGCGGCATCTGGAAGTCATTCAATGTCTTTTGGTTTGGATATCACTTTTTTCATTTAAACCTACTTTGTTTTCTTTTGTTCAATCCACCAAGATTTAATGTACTAATGAGTTTTTTCATAAATACGTATAAGAAAAAAATCATTAAAAAAAAGATGGTAGAGATCATCAGAAATAGCTTTTTCTGAAACTTATTGCAGTTACTTTACATGAAACTTTCTCTGTTCTTGGTAGTCATACAGAAAGGCCTTAGAGTTGTTGCTGCTTGTTCTCTATTTTTTTTTTAATTCCAAAGAATCAAAAAATGAAGACACGCTTTTCAAATGACTTACTTTAAGACATGTCATTTGGAGTGAGTCTGTGATTTTGCTGAAACCAAATTCTCTTGACTCACAGTGACCCAGAATCTAATTTTATACACAAGCCTATGAATTCTTAACTGTTCCTTTTTTGAGTCCTTCTGATAAGGCTTATTTTTGCTCTTTAAAGAAGCAGAATGAATTGTAAATAACTAAATTGGAGCATTTGATTTCTTCGTATTAAATATATAAATGCCACTCAGTAAGAAGATCTATCAAAGAAAACTAGTTAAATAAATCATGGTCTACCCATACGTCAAAGTGTTATGAAGCTTTTAAGAATAATGAATTAGATTTATGTGCATTGACCTAGGGCAGAGTTTCTCAATTTCAGCTCTCTTGACATTTTGGACCAGATAATTTTTATTGTAGGGGCTTGTCCTGCATATTGAGGGGGCTTGTCCTGCGTATTGTAGGTACTCAGATGCATCCCCAGCCTCTACCCACTAGATGCTAACGATGTCCCTCCCCGTACCAGTCATGACAATGAAAAATGTCTCCAGACTTTGCCCCTGGCAGGGCAAAACCACTCCCAGTAGAGAACCACTAGCCTACCCAAGATACAGTACATAAAAGGCAAGTTAAAAAATTACTATACGACAGCCTCATTTCCTTTGAGGAAAAAAAAATGTGTATCCTAACATTAACAATGGTTACATTATAAGGGGTAGAATGGGAGGGGCAAGCGGGGGAGAGTTGCAACTTTTTCTATGTACATGTGTATGCCATTTTGATAAGCTGTGACCACAAAACAAAAGTAAACAAAAACTAAAACACTTTAATCAGAAAAAAAAAAAAGAAGATAATGCAAGTGGTTAAAAGAGTCCGTCAACAAGTGTTAGAATATTAAATACATACATTTTCCATTTCCTAATAATTTCTGAATAATTACTGTGAAATGCTGGAGGAAAGTGTCACGAGTATCAGAACACCACACTCCCTTGTATCACTGGCAATGTTCTCCTTCATTATTCCTACAATATTATGTTCTACTTGCAGGTGTCTTTCTGCAGATTGTGTGGATTTTATGTTATCCGTTCATCCTAATTATTATTTTTTTATTGGAATTCTACCACATTTACTCATTTCTCCTAGAAAATCTGAGCTATCTGTTCAGTCTTCCATGTTCTCTTAAAGTTTAACCATTGCTCCCTGACATAACTTCCACCCCCAAACTACTGGTAATTATGCCATCTAGCTTATTCTAAATTTTCTTCTTCCTATATGTCTTTCAGAATGCTTTTATTTTTTGTTTGTCTGTTTGTTTTTAGATGGAGTCTCACTCTGTTGTCCAGGCTGGAGTGCAATGGCACGATCTCGGCTCACTGCAACCTCTGCCTCCGAGGTTCAAGTGATTCTCCTGCCTCAGCCTCCTGAGTAGCTGAAACTACAGGCGTGCACCACCACACCTGCCTAATTTTTGTATTTTTAGTAGAGATGGGGTTTCACCATGTTGGTCAGGCTTGTCTCAAACTCCTGACCTCAAGTGATCTGCCCACCTCGGCCTCCCAAAGTGCTGGGATTACAGGCATGAGGCACCGCACCCGACCCAGAATGCTTTTTAAAAATCTTTCCATCTTATTTAAATCTAGATGTTTTAAAGTATCCATAGGCAAATTCCAGGGCACATTTAAATGAAGTATTTTAATTCTGACTGTATAATACTAAATTAGTTAACTGGTATGGCCATGGAATGTGATCATCTGATTTCTGCAGTGTTCTCACTAGCAGAGAATTACTTTGCTCTCTTTGCTCCAATGCCTATGAAAATCTGCACATATAGGTGCTCGACTGACTCACCCCACACCCAGAGCATTTTTTAGATGGCTCTCATGGCCAAACACAAGGCCAAGAAGCGTGTCTCCTCGGCTTCAGCAGCCCTTCCTGAATTCCATCTGCAATTTACGCCTTTATTATGGATCTTGTTGCTGGGGAGCTCCTGCTGATGGACAGCCAAGGTTTACCGTACTAAAAAGGAAGTTTTACTGTGCGTTTATTACTATGTGCCAGCATTTGTGCTAAGCCTAATATGCACTTTCTAATTTAATCCCCTAGATTGCTTTCTGCATTAGATACTAGTACTATACTCATTCTTAGACACATAAGAATGATTCCCCAGGCCCCCAGGCTAGCTAGTGAATGCTTGACGGAAAACCTGGGCCCTAGAGAGCCATGGTATCTTCATGGTAGAGGTGTGTCCTGGCAGAGAGAGATGAATGAGACTCTGGGATCTCCACTGCCATCATCCTCTTTTAACAAAATCAACTCCATTTCCATTTGTTTTATAAATTGAGGTTCCTCATAATATTTCATTACAAAAACAAAACAAAACCAAGGTTCTTTTGCAGGGTGACAGTATGGAAACCATTCCTGAAGAGTACTGGTGGTGGGGCCAAGGTTTTGCCAAAACTTAGAATCATCATATAGTCTTCAGATCCAAAAAGATGCCATCTCCCACTGGACAAGATACCAAGGACCTCTAGACTATTTTTAAAGTAACCTCTGACCCACATAATTGATGCATCAAAATGTGCTACCACTCACCATGGTTCACAGTTAGTCGATAATAACTTCCTATGAGTGAAGATTATAGTATAAGAAGATCAATGGCTAAAGTGTCTCTTTGGAAATTCAAGCTCCTTTAGGGCCACCAATTATTAACAACTGCCTTGGGGAACTTGAGGATCCTCAACAGCTCCAATCACTTTCCATAAAAGTAACCTTTAAAAGATGTTACCCTCGATCTTAGGACTACCACATAAGAAGAGAAAGATGTCAGCTCAGTATAAAAGTATTTATTGAGCACCTACTATGTATCAGGCCAGAGAAGGCAATATATCAAACCTTATATCTTCAAGAACTAGGAAATTACCATGTGATTATTTTACACGTTAAACAAAATCCTGAATGGATGAACAAATTTACTACAACAACGTGTAGGCCAGAATAATTTTTATATACTCCCACCAAAATTGCTCACAATTTTTCCCAGTAGTAGTGACACAATAAGGAAATGTATAACCATGAATATAGCCCAGAAAAATTTAATGTGCTTTTGTTAATATTACTTCTCACTTAGAAAAACTAAGTCCTGAAAGATTTACCAGTGATCATTTAAAGGCAAAGCAGCTACTGGGTTATAAGAGATTGCCCACAATCATAACCAACAGTAAGAGTTGAATGCTGGTAGCTTTTTCAACTCCTTTCACAATTACATTTTATATGTAATCTTCCTTTATATCATTTCCTAAATTTCTCAGTATTAGGAAAAAACTCATTTTCTCTTCCTTGTCTTGTTTTGTCTTCTAATTGGCAATATTAGATAAGAGTTTCTCAACCTGAGTGGTACTGACATTTTGGTCTGGATGATCCTTTCTTGGGGGAGGGATATTCTGTACATCATAGAATATTTAGCCCACTAGATACCAGCAGCCACCCCTGCCCTACCAGGTTGTGACAACCAAAATGTATCCAAACATTGGCAAATGTCAAAATCCCCTTCATTTGCAAACTACTGTATTAGACCTAAAATATCATAAAAATCATCTTCTTAGGGGAGGCAGGTAGTGAATGTTCAAAGCTTATGTTCTGTTCCTAAAAATAGAAATCATCCACATAAACAAGATTCCAATTTTGATAAATATTGGGAAGAAAATAAATAGGTTATACAAAAAAGAGTTATTGGGGAAGGATGGCTACATTTAATTGGGTCAATAGGAAAGGCCTCTCAAAAAAGATGGCATTTGAGCTGATGCTGAAGGATGAGGAGAAGCCAACTGTGAAGTGAAGGAAAAAGTATGTTCCATGCAGAGGGAACAGCATGTGCAAGGTCTGAAGTGGGAGAGAACTTGACATCCTTGAGAAATGAAAAGGTGGACAGGAAAGCTGGGTGCAGGGTAGGCAAGGTAAAGGGTGAAACACAATAGGCTTGGAGAGATTGGCCTAATTGTGTAAGGTGGGGAAATCATGGGATACTTCCCCAAGGAGATGACCTACTATGCTGAGGTATAAAG